GTTTTCAGAGGTACTTCTAGGAACCTGAAAATTTTCAGTTCTTCCAAGGTGCTATGATAAGAGATGAGGTGTTTTCTCTCCACAGCCACAACAAGCTCCACCACACCAGCATTCCCCCCCTCCCCAGGACGGCCCCTCAGAACTGCGACCCAGATCCAAGCACGGGTAAAGCAAGAGATTCCTGCCTCATCACTGGCAAAGAGATCCCTGCAATCCCCCTCTGATCAGTCACTCGATTCCCCCTCAGTCTGTGGGACTGACGCTCAGGAAAAAGCCGGCCGCACTGGAGACTTGCGGCTGAGACCTAGATCCTCTCTCACCGAAGACACAGACTTCTCCCACTGACCTTCTAAGTTGCCTTTGGCGTTCAGGGGTTGAGTAGTCTGAAAACCGCCACAGCTGCCTGAGATTCAGTCCTCTGAGGCCTGCTCCAGGGTCACTGAGGCCTGCACGCCCACACCAAACTGCGTTCCTCTCCCCACACGGCCTGATATACCTTTCCTATCAACCATCCAGGCTGTCTTTGACTGGAAATTTGTTTCACTCTGTCTTTGTGTGGGTTCTGCTGCTTTAGAATTTGTTTAGAGCCATTTTTTTAGGTATTTGGAGGGCTTTGGGAGAGAGCTCAAGACAGTTACTGCTTTCCCTCCACCATCTTGGCTTCGCCACCCAAGCTTCAGTTTTCTTGAGGGGATATAACAAGTACATAAGGAAAATGAGAAAACATTAATTACTGGGGTGGGCAGTGGGGAGGGGGGGAGAGATAAGGGAAAGTTAATTTGAGAGGGTAGTATCCAAGCTAGAGGTTCTGAAAGTCAGCGACAAAGAGGGAGCGAATTCCAGGTGTGGAGGTTAGCCTTCTGCAAAGGAAATAGCTATAAAAGTAAAGTAACGTATGGAAAGGTGGTTTGGGGCCAGATAATCCAGAGCTCTAAATGGCAGTCTGTTTATATTTTATAGTTACTAGAACTAGAGGCTATAACAGGGTGCTTTTTAAGATGTTTGAGCAAGAGAGTAACATGGTCAGCCCTGGCTGGACCTTATAAAGTTGATTCTGCCAGCTGCTCAGAGGATGGATTAGAGATCCAAGAGACTAGAAACTGGGAGACCAATTGCTAGGCATTCATTTAATATGGGTTGTCTCCCCATTAGAATATGACCTCTGGAATTTAGAGTGATCGGTAAATCCATCACAATTCTAAAGGACTCATGATGAAAAATGCTGCCCTACCTCCAGAGAGAGAATTGATGAGCTCTGAGTATAGATTGAAGCATATTTTTTTTAACTTTATTTTTCTTGCTTTTTCTTTTTGCAACATAGCTAATGTTTTGAAAATGTTTTGCATATGTATAATGGACATCATATATCTTGCCTTTTCAATGGGTGGAGGAGCGAGTGGAGAGAAAAAAAGAATTTGGAACTGAAAATAAAAAAAAATTTAAATAATAATAAAGAGACCATTAAGTCCAACTCCTTCATTTAATAGATGAGGAAACAGGTGGTGAATTGACTTACTGAAAGTCACACAGGTAGCTAGGCAGTAAGAGCCAGTATTTGAACCCAGGTCAGGTAGGGGGCACAGTGCCTAGAACTCCAGGCCTAGAGTCTGGAAGACTGCCTTCCTGAGTTCAAATCTGACCTCAGATACTTCCTAGCTGTGTGACCCTGGGCAAATCACTTAACCCTGTTTGTCTCTGTTTCCTCATCTGTAAAATGAGCTGGAGAAGGAAATGGCAAACCCCTTCAGTATGGAGTCACAAAAAGAACAACAACCTCTGTCTACAAATCCAGGGCTCTTTTCCCTGTTCTTGCTGTCCCACTAGAGCTTGCAGTGGTTGCAAAGACATTCTATTAGCTTCATGAAATAGGATGTTCACTACTTCTGGACCAGCAGCCTCAGGCACTCTGTGAAACCAGTCAGCCACCTCTTTCCTAGTCCATCACTTCCCTTCCCTCCACTGCCCAGCCCTGTCCTACCCTATCTTGCCCTGCCTCCAAAGAGGTTGGCTAGGGGGGTGGGATTTCTAAGGGAGGGGCAGGAGCTATCCCTGAGATAGGTGGAGCCTAGGCTGAAGGGGGCAGAGCTATGTCAAGGGTGGAGCTCAGGCTAGTCTAGGGGTCTGCCAAGGAAGGGTTTTCAGTGCACCCCTAGGAGCTGAAACCTCATTCTACTCAAAGCAATTTGGGGGCCACAGGAAGAGACAAGGTAACCTGCAAGTGGGACTCAGGATCTCATGCGATGAGAGTAAGGGGTCTACTTGGAGAAGCACCCACACTCATCAATGCCAGGACCCTGATGCCCTCCTTACTCCCCAGGTGGAGTAGAAGAAATAGCACCAGCAAAGAGTGACAAGGTCAGCTGCTGAACAGGCCAAGGACCTCATTTGGTGGAGACCAGCTACCCACCTTCAAATTCCTTCTCCTGGGACTCACCTTGTCCCCCTCTGCTAACCTTCCCTTCTCCACCCCCCCCCC